GGGATCTCTGTGAGTTTGAGGCCAACCTGGTCTACAGAGCAAGTTCCAGGACAGCCTCCAAAGCTACACAGAGAAACCCTGTCTCAAAAAAGAAAAGAAAAAATTGACTATGCTTCAGAATGAGGAGATTGTATGGCAAAGACCAGTCCTGCCTGGTCTACAGAGTGAGTTCCAGGACAGCCTCCAAAACAATACAGAGAAATCCTGTCTCGAGAAAACAACAACAACAACAAAAGACCACTCCTAAAGATTCTAACTGATGTGCTAGACACCCATCCCAACAGAAGTATACATGAGAAACTGGAACCTAGGCTAACATCGGGCTTCTGACTTGACCACCGGAAGAGTAATATACAGAAGGAAAAGCAGATAGCAACAGTGTGAGAAGAGATAATTATTAGAACATTCAAGTGAAAGAATGAGGCTGATGATTCCATAGATTAAGGCTGAGTTCTAGCACCACGCCTGATGACCTGAGTTCAATCCCTAGATCCCACATGATGGAAGGAGACAACAAACTCCCACAAGTTATCCTCTGACCTCTACAAATACACCATGGCACGCAAGGATATGTGTATGCATGTGCACACACACAAATTTTTAAAAAGAGGAAAAATAAACTGGCTTTGGATATACGACACTGAAGCTCAGGAAAGAACTCTAAACTAAATTTGCTATAAAGGAATCTCTGTATAAAAGTGTCTAGCTTCAAAGAAGACAAGCCACCGCTCATGACTAAATCTCCAGTGAGAGGCTAGAGGTTCAGTGGCCAAAAGTGCTTGCTGCTCTTGCAGAGGACCTGGGTCTTAGCATCTCCATCGGGTGGTTCACAGCTGCTGATAACTCAGAGAGCACCTGCTTATGGCGCACATAAACTCATGCAGGCACATATGCACAGAGAAATAACAATTTTTAATCCTCAATGTGAAAGTGAAATGTATGAAATTAGAACACTTGTTGCTCCTACAGAGGACCCAGGTTCAGTTCCCAGCATTAACATGGTGGCTCGCAGCCAGAGGATCCAGTGGTACACACACATACATGAAGGTAACATATTTGTTCCTATAAAATAAATCTAAAATAATTAGAGAGCTCTATGCTAGAAAGTTAAATATCCTGTAACAGTTATTTATTCCCCACACATTCATAAATTCTGTCTGAGCTGCCTGAGTTCCTTCAGTAGCTGGCATCTCACATCTAACCTCACCTCTAATTTAACAGAAAAGGAAAGCTATGGTTTCTTAAAGGAGGAAGCCAGCTTCAGATAACTAAAATAGGTACTTCCTTAGGACATCCAAGGACAAATTACTACAAATTCAAATGTTTTATATGCTCTTCATTTAGCCTTGCCCAAATGACCAACTGGACATGAGATTACTATAGATCTAGACTTTCCTTCAAAGTTTAGAATCTTCATACTTCTAGAAGCATCAAGCAAAATTATCCCCAAAATACAGTCCAGATCTACATTACCAGCTAATGACAATAACATAGATTTTTGAGCCATCTTTGAGAAGCAAGATTTTAAAAAACGCATTTTTAAAAATAAGTAAGGCACTGTGATCCACACTTGTAAAATCAGCACTTGGGAGCCAAAGATAAGGACCGCAGGCTTGAAGCCAGCTGGACTACATAAAAGTTCAAGGCCAGCCTAGGCTGAGACTCAGTGCTGTAGCTCTATAGCATTGTGAATACACATTTGTGTCCTTCACCAGGCCCTTTGGAAGCAAAGGGGTCAAAACAAGAGCTGTGGTGCATTGGATCACTAGCTAGCCACGGCCACCCTTACTGAAACAGCTTCAAAGGACGGACAGCAGGAGTGGCAACAAAGTGTAGTTGACTGAGAGGAGAATGAGAAGTAAGCAAGTGTGTGGCTATTGTGGTGAACTTTTTTAAAGACCTAGAATAAGAACTCATGGGAGACGTAACTAGACACTGCACAGGGTTGTGGACATGGTTCTTTATTTGTTTGTTTGGTGTAATGGGGGAGATCACAGATGCTTCCAACCAAGGAGAAGGGCCAAGAAAGAGGAAAAGAAACATGAGAAACAGCAAGGGAAGATGCATGCCTAAGGGATGGCATTAGGAATGCCAGGAACTAAAGCTGCTGCATCGACATAGGCCTTTTCAAGTGCAAATGTCAAAAAGGGGAAGCGTGGCTTTCTTTAAGGGTGGGGGCTTCAAATTATGCTCAGATGTAATCAGGAGGTCCTTGGGCTTTCTTACTCCCCTCTGGCTTCACTCTTTTGTGTCAGACTGTCTGTTACTAAGAGATGCCAAAGATGACAGTCAGTGGTTCCAAGTTCCTGTTCTATCAACCCCTAAACCAAGCACTTCTTTTCAACAGGTGAAATCAAGTTCCAGGAATGACTCCTACTGGGAAGATTGTAGTCAACTCTATGGCCAGCTCATAAACTGAGTACCATGCTCACCCCCATCAGTCCCACTCAGACTACTTGACTGAACACTTGAGTCCTGAAAGCACCTAAATCAGCACACAGCCACCAGCAGGAGGGACATGTATACTGAGCAGCTGTGGCAGTGGATGAATGAGAGCTGAAGAAACTGACACCAAATTGTCTTAAAAAACAGAAAAGGAAAAATTGACTATAGCAGACAAGAAAGAAAAGCATAAAAAGATAGGCGAGAGAGGAAGTTACCTCCATAAGATACTTTTTGTGTTTAGCTCAGGCTTGCTATTCTTAAGTTTTAAGGACAATTTTGTTATATAAAGAAGGCTTTCTATTATTGGAATTTTCTATTACCAAGAAGTACCATGCTATGCTGTTAAGTTGCAACACATCCATTCTGGTACATTCCACTTATTCTCAATGAGTTTGACCATTAACCACTGCTGCAACAGTGACCCCAATCCTTGAGTTATGAGAGTTCTTTGTATTTCAGTCAAACGAGAAAGTTTTTTTTAAGCACTGAGTTCCTCTGGTGAGAACTTACTCCTTACACTTTAGAGAGAATTTAATGATCACTCCCAGGGATGCTCCAATGTCTGCCTTTCTCCCACATTATAAGCAATGATTCATCTTCCCATTTCTTTTTTAAAATAATTTATTTTTATTTTATGTGCATTGGTGTTTTACCAACATGTATGTCTGTGTGAGAGTGCCAGATTCCCTGGAACTGGATATATAGGCAGTTGTGAGCCACCATGTGGGTGCTAGGAATTGAAACCAGGTCCTCTGGAAGGACTGTCTGTGCTCTAACCTCTAAACCATCTCTCCAGCCCTTCATCTTCCCATTTCTGAGCCTCTCTACCCATTCCTCTTGTGTTAAACCAAAAGGACACTAAGGTCCCTCAAAACAGAGTTATCATATAGCCAAGCACATGGACCCAGCTAAGATAAGTTGTTGGGCCCCTAAGTCCCTGAGCTCCACCCTAAGGGTCTTTGTGTTTTGAACAGCTCCAGATTCAAGGATAGTTTAATAAAATTCACATGTGCATCTTCCAAACACACCTCCTTCATTGAAAGGAAGTGAGTCATGCACCCACTCTAGGCTCTTGTGACAGAGATAGTGCTGGCTGGTTATACCCATGTCCTGAGCTGGCCCTCCCCCCCTGCATATTTAGGAAATTTATTGAAGTAATTCAAAAAATAAAATCTGTCAAAGTTGAGATGTCTGTAAGTAGCCTCTGTAAGCAACTTGTCCTTTCTTATAGTCCAAATCTTTTGACAAAAATCACTTTCAGGATGCTTGAGAATCATTTGTAGCTAATGCCAGATAGGTTTGAACTTTACACATTTTACACATCCATCAAAAATCTATATTTGATAAATAATCTTAAACAATCATCAGTTGACATGAGAACTCAAAAGACCCAGTTCAAGGTTTAGTGGTCATGAAAGTATCAATTTTAGGTATTAAGATGAAAGAACTGTAGGTTTCTGACTCTTTCTTGTTTGGAAGTGCACAGGTATTTCCTCATCCTTGGCAAAGTGTGTGTTTGGTACCTCTCTGTCTGTACCATCTTCCCCTCCCCTGAGTCCCCGTCCCCATACAGGCATTCACAAGATACCCAGCTGAGCTTAACCAGTGGTTGTGCAATACAGTCACTCTACATGGCCCTACTGACAAGTAGTTTTCGACTTCATGGTGACAATTAATGACTGAATAAAAGGCAGTCTTTTTAAGGTTGAGTCCACAGAACACTTAAAAGTTCAACTCTTAAGATGGACCATCTAAGGAAGGAAAATAAAAATAACCCCCTCTTAAGCCAATTCACCCAAAGCAATGTCTCCCTATGAATGAAGGTTAAGGTTAAAACAACACAATCCACTCTTTTGAATCTCTTAGCCCTCTCTCCCCAACCCTAAAACCTGTGGTGGTTGTACTAGTGTTTTACGATATCCAAAGCCCTAAAGCACAAGTTGCTTTCAGTACAACTGCTGGAAAGTATCTCTTGTTACTTGAGGGACTATGAAGGATTTAGGCTTCCACATGTAAAATGATCGTGGCCTCTTTTCTCGGTTTTATAAGCTGACCTTCCGGGGTATACCTTTCATAGGTCAGTTGGCCCACCAGTGTAATTAAATTAAAGAGAATGGTGCCCACGCTCTTAGCTGAGTCTTGGTGGAGTTTTATCCAGAGCACTTGCAGGACTAGGATAAAGTTTTCTGTGACAGATTTTATTCGCCCCTGTCTCACCATTTGCACTCCAGCCCTGCTGCTAGCCCTTAAAGTGACAATGTTCCTAGTATCCTGATGTCATGTATCCCTCCAACTTTTAATGGCAGTCCTTTCTTCCTAGAACTCTGTAGTAGCTTCACATTTGCTTTCTAGGTCAAGACAGACCCCCTGTTGTCTGCAGGAAACATTCCCTGGGCTGGCTTGCAGCAGCAGCTCATGCTCCTGCTTTTCACTTTGCCTCCACTCTGCTCGGTATGGAAACCATGACAGCCTCTTTCATGCACCCCTTCTTCTAAAGCTTCTTAAGCTCCCTAATGCCTGTGTGGATGTGCCTATGAATTAAATGCCCGGCAAAATGTATCAATGGTATTTTATTAGTTCTATTCCAGGTAAACACATTTAACCAGATTGCAAGTGGCAATGTTGTTAAAGTTAGACCGAAAATCCCCCCAGATAGAATGTCTGTGGCTTGGTGCAGTAGTTGGTCTTGACAGTCTCATGTATACAGTCACTATAGTCAGTATTACACTTGCCACACTTGCAGCTCAAGGCAACAGGGTAGGAGAAATAAGGAACAACATGGTGTGGGCATCCTGGTATTTCCACAGTTCTGTAGGTGAAGTCTCTGTATGTACAAACATCCTGGGAGAGGGCAGATTTGGGAAGAAACAGCTTGCCATTGATATCCTATGGAAAGAAAAGGGATTATAATATGATAAGTTTTACACTAGTTTAGATAGTACAACAGAAAGACCATAATTTACTGATACCCCTTTATTTCAGTGATGACCTATAGAGGACTCTTGAACTCTGTTACTCAATTCTAGCTTAACACATTGACATTTAACCCCTAAAAGACCAAAAAAAAAAAACCAACACTTTCTTTTCATTTACCTTTGATCATGAGAACAAAATAAGATTTAAATAAATTCAGGGTAGACTGTTACAAATATATCTGAATTTCTTTTTCTAAACAGAGTCACACTATTATAATTCTGAAAACAATGCTATTGGCTCCCCAAGGAGACAGTACCATTGGATTTAGAAAATAATACTATATATATTAGGCCTATATAATTTACAACTGAAAGAAGTATAGTGAATAACATACCCGTGTCATACAATACCCGGCACAGATGGTGGTGTTGATGGTTAGGCAATAGGCACACTCTCTCCTATCCACGTACATTGTATATTCAGTTGGAATACAGTAAGATGCTGCTTGTCCATATGCAAGAGCAAAAAGCACGGAGAGCAGGATGATAGCACTCATGCTGAATCAAAGATAAAATCACAGAACTCATTTCCTGTATCCTTTCTGTACACATCTGTGGAAAGCTTATGCAGATATATACACAGCCAATAAAGAGAACAGCTAAGATATATTGAATGGTTAATTATCTCTGAGCCCCACATAAGGTGTTTTTACATAACCAATCTTTTCAAACCTTCCCATTTACACTCAAATGCAGCTATGACCCCATATACCTGTAGGACAGAAGCTCACATCTTAGAGGGCTTGCCTACAAGTGCCACCTAGCTCCCCTGGGAAGTGACATGAAAGCTTGCTACATCACAACAGAAAACTAACACCTTTCTGTTAACTAAGTGTGAAATAATTCATTCAATGCAGCAGTAATAAAATGCCTATCATTATAAGAAGTAAGTTAATAAATATTCTTTAGGAAGGGCTTTCCCAGAATTATAAGTTTCTAAAAATGTTCAACAGCTTAAAAGTTTCCTATAATTGGAAAGAAGCAAAGAAAAATTATAACCAAACTTTGGTACCACCTAGTGTATGTAATCTTGTTTATAATTCTTCTAGTGTTAGTCAAGGAAGCTGGAGAAGGTCCTGAAAAAATCAGCTGAAATTATGACTGGTGTTAGGTAATAACAGCAGTTAGAAGGCCCCTTCTGAATCCTTAGGATATTCTTTTAGGGTTGAAAAAAATCAAGTTGAAATAAAAGATCATTTTATACAGAAGTTGTATGGCACTCATTATTTAAAAGTATACAGAGAGATGAAAAAATAGTTTGGCACATTCAGACTAACCTATTCAAGAAAACAGATCCACCATGGGTTGTTTAGATTTATTAGCAGTGCCAGCTGTATGGGAGGCAGCGAAGGGGCCACTGAGCAGAAAGTACATCTCAGTGAGCCTGGCTAATGGAGAGGCTGTTCAGTATCATCTGAGTACTGTAATGATCTGGGGAATGTTATGACTTATAATTATTTTGGTTCTGCCACTGAAAGAGGGTAATCAAATTTCAGACTTTTAGATGTAGGTTGATCACCTCTAAGATTAAGAAGACTTTTGTTTCCTTTTACTAATATTGTTCAACTAGCTAAGTATATTTGAAATTTTTTCTTCTCAACATATATATATGTGTGTGTGTGTGTGTGTGTAAATACATATACATACATATATACATATATACACATACGTAGTCCTCACTGAAGCTACTCTATTAAATTATTTTTCACTGGCTGCCAAGATGGCTCAGAGGTAAAAAATATTTACTGCTCAAGCCTGCTCAGTCCCCGGAACATACATGGTGGACGGAGCGAACAGACCCCTCCTGGAAGTTTCCTCTGACCTCTCCATGCACGCTGTGGTGCTTCCCCAGTGCCACCGCTGCACAACAAGTAGTTGTAGAAAATTATTCACTAAACATTTTATTAAATCAACAAAACGCATCAAGATTTTCTCAAATCTGTCAGTTGTGCTAACAATTCTAAGCTGCATACTTTAAAATCTTTACTTATTGAAACCTTGTAAAATCAGTCTCAGGTAATCAGAATTTTGCCTTCAATAAATATATAAGACAGAAACTAAAGTATTACATAGTTACTAAATGTCAGCTTCTATAGCCATTTCAACAATCTCTTATTCTTAGCACAGGAAATGTGGAAGTTGGATAAGCATACATGTACTGAGCATCTGGACTATACAATGAGAGATATATTGACATAGTGCCTGACCCAAAGCACCAACAGTTCATGAGCAGCCAAGGAAGAGCACAATGTAAAAATATAGCTTTTCTAAGTTCTCTGAGAAAGTCCAAGTTATGACTCTGATGCTCTCCAGTTATCAAAGATTTCCTTACATTTGCTACACTTGTAAATGAAATAATGCTTTAGGATAAAGTGCTTGGTGGTAAACTCTGTTAAACAAGGCATTAGTGTGAGCATCCCTTGCCATGTTTTTAAATGTTTGCATTAGGGAGTAAAAACATAAGAATTCCTGGTTTTGTTGTTTGATGCATTCCAACGTTGGACCCAAGCCTCACACATACTGAACCTCGCATCCAGCTCTACAGTTAAGATACTATGCCAGCTAATACCGTAAGAACTCCTTTCTCAGGAATTCAGATTCTTTTCTAAGTGTTTCATAAAAGTACAAGCTCCCTCTATACTATTCAGTTAGTTCTATTATAGTAGTGACACAGATCTAGAGGATTCTCCAAAGGATTTTAAAAATAGCAACCAGGTAAGTGCGACAGGATATTCGTCCTTCCTGCTCACATACCCCTTACCATCTTCACAGTTCTTCAGTGGGTTTCACCACAGAAAACAACTTCTAGCTCTACAACTCTATAGGAAATAGTATATGCAGTAATCTAGAATCAGAATATTGGCTCAGAATTTAAGGAACAGAAATTTCTGGTGGGTCTATAACACACTGATGAAAATATTTAATCCTCTTCATTCATCTGCTAGATAAAACAGATGAACACACCTGACCCTTTCAAAACAGTAAGACAGAGATGCAAAGCTGGCTCAGCGGCTAAGATCTCTCTTCTAGTACTTCTCTTAAAGGCAGTCTCAATACTTCCACATCAGGCAACTCACAACTCCTTGGAACTCCAGTTCCAGGAGATCGATGTCTCTGGCCTACAGAGGCACCTTCATATACAATACACACATGCACACATAATTTTAAAATAATAAACCTCTTCTAAAATTTTTAAATAAAAAATTGCATCATAACTTTCCCCTATTGTTGTCCTATTAAACAGTAACATTTTTGTTGTTGTTGTTGTTGTGTTGTTTTAGTAACATGTTTTTTAAGACTCCCTTTTGAGAACTTTTATTTTTTGGTTTGAGAAAGGGTTTCTCTGTCTAGCCCTGGCTGTCCTAAAACTCATTCTGTAGACCATACTGGCCTCAAACTCACAAAGATTCACCTGCCTCTGCCTCCTGAGTGTTGGGATTGAAGGCGTGCACTATCACGGCCCAGCAAGACTCCCTTTTATAAGCACAGAAGCTAACAAAAGCAAAGCATTAAAAAGGACTGGATCACCAGTCACAGTGCTTATATAATGCTGTGAAGATAAAGAACATGAATGATTCTTTCCCTTTTACTTCTTTATTATAAATAGTAAAAGTTTGACCACATAGTTTTCCTATACCTCAACTTCCTCATCTATAAAAGGAAAGTTAAGCATCAAAAGATTACCAGGAAAGTCTTCACAGCACAAATAATCTGCGATTCTGTGTTAAATTAGAATTAGTAATCTACAGTGATGCTCTCATAAAAAATAAAATAATTCATGTGAACCCTACATAAGAAAATTTCCTTAGCTACATAACACTACATAAACCAATGTAAATACCTTCCTTTTTTCAACAGTTTCCCTGTGCTCATTCCCTTAACCTTTCTCCATATTTCCTTTCTGCTTTTATTATTCTCATTATTAAACACATTACTCTCTGCTCTGCTAATACCTATTACCTCTATTTCCTACTTGAAGTCATTACTATACAATGAAAAGAACCAACTTCTCTACTTCTGAGCAACCCCAGCGTTTTACTAAAGCAGAATACTTTTCTAGAAAGAAAAATTTATTATATTAATAAAGTATGTATATTGGATACTATCATAGAGGGTTTTGCTGTTAATTAACTAAAAAAAATATCTTGTAGCATGAAATGTCCCTGATGGTAATGAAAACACTGGTACCCTTGTACACACTCAAAACTGAATTTACTCTAAAACTCTCTCAAAATATATTTTCATCAAAGATGGCCATTAGTAATTATGAGGCTTAAATACACAGATTATTCAAGCAACTAAAACATTTAGGTTGAAATGTAAGTAGGAGAAAGTTGTACACATTATTCTTCATTGGGAGACTGACGGGCTGTTTCCTTCTTTTAAGTCAATGGAATCTCACCTCATCTGTCAATAGGTGGTTCACCCTCCTTCACTCAATACTGCATGATTTAGAGCAATAATTAAAAATTTTAGAGCTTATCAGTTCTCTTTCAGCACTTACAATCTTTAAATAAATGCTACAGCTGTTAAAACAAAATGAAATGACAATAAAAGCATTTCGTTTACAGCTCCTGCTCAGGATAGACACCTACCTTACTTTGCATTGGCGAGCTGATGCTATGATGACCCAGACTCTGTTCATTTTATACCCTCCAGGATAATTCCCCTCTGATCTTCTTATTTATATAATTGCATTTGAATTGCTGCCTTCTTATCTGAAAAGCATCTATTGAAAATTCATACTGAACCCCAAATAAAACTTGTTTATACAAACAGATTCACGATATCCTTCCCCTGGAAACTCTGACATTATTATAGCATGCACCTTCCTCTCTCTTATTTCAAATACATCTTTTATTAGTATCTGTTAATATTAATAAGGATAGACCATAGAATTAGAAGAAGTGGTGAAAAAAGTACAGAGAATACAAATTTATTTGGGGCTTGAAGGTTTCAAATGTCACCTATTTATGTAGAGATATATATACAGAATTATTCATCTATAAAGTTAAGGTAACTTCTTTCTGGAAATCTGGGCCAATTGGCCCATGTATGACAAGAAAAAATAAATTTTAGTTCAGAATGTTTTGGGTTTTTTCTTGGATTTTACAGGATGTTAATATAACTTACAGCATAAAACATTTCTTTGACCAGCATGGCTCAATCTGGCAGGATGTCAAACTGACCTGAGATCAAATTCTGGCTTGGTCACGGACGAGCAATACCATTGCATTCATGAGTACTGCTTATTTCAGGTTCCCCACCTATCAAATGGTACGCAGGTATGTGTTTGTGATCCTAGAACTCAGGAAGCAGAGGATGGAGTGTTGGCCCAAATGGAGTATGTAGCATCATCCTGTCTCAGAAATAATGAATGTCACTATTTATATGTGACATATAACAAGGACTCCATAAGAAATAGCTAACTTACAATAACACCAAAAAATTGTTTGATAAATTTTAGCCAATATATTCATTGAATGTGTAAATGGCT